TGTTGTAAAAGTTTTTTTTTTTTTAGTAATTTTGAAAAACTTTGCCTCTCCACTGTCCGCGTGGTACACGTACGTGAAATGAATAGCAGTGAAAAGTTATGTCAATTTGAAATTTATATTTTCATTGGCAATCAAGTGTCAGTTTAATCGACGCGTTCGATAAGACGTCGATAAAAGCGTTTAGCGATTTTCTTCCGGTCATACCTTTTCTTGCACGTGGCAATCGTCAATGTCATTCGTTTCGTTTTAGTCTGTATGTCGGAAATTTTTTTTTTTATTTTTTTGTCCCGTTCCTGTCTGTTCACACGGGCGAGCGTGATGTAATGTGGGAGGGAAAAAAAAAAGGAAATAAATGACGCCTATTCGTCAAACCGATCCAGCGACGTTGGAGCGCGCGAAATTCTCAACGTCCCTCTCGTGGCCCGATGTGTCTACTCGAGATCTTAAAATTCGATCCTCGTTGCCGCGGCCAGAAGTCGACGCGACTGGAATATAGGCGCACGTACGAACGCACACGGGCTCACTGGTTGCGGCAACGTTTTGCGGCAAGTCGCAACCGCCGGACCTACGTGAAACGCAATACTCCTCCGAGAAGGCCAAAGTGTCGCTGGTTACGCGCGAAAATCGCGTTAGTGGGTATTATCGCATGTGTGTGCGGTATGTATGCTGGCTGTGCAAAATCTTGCCAAGAAGTTGGTAGGTAGGTGGATTTATACGCGGTGTGCAAAAGTGATAGGCTCGTTCCGCGAATCGAAGTCCCGTTCGTGTATACACATAATGGGTATACTATAGTCGGCATTGTTATGTTTACTTATAAAATGTCAGTGTTGCCCGAAACTGTTGAAATCAATGAAAATCTTATGGGAATAAAATTGGCACAGCCGTGGAGGAAAATTATTTTTAAAAAAGCATAAAATTTGATGTCTTCTGATCGGTGGTGTATTTTAATAAAAAACAAAAATTTCGAACAAAAAATCAGTTCGAGTCATCCAGTATTGGATCTGTGACTTTACTTTGATTTAATTAAGTCATTACGAAACCCATTGTAGCTCCGAGTTGCCTAACGGCGGAAAAATTTGAAAATTCATATTTTGCTTATTCATATTTGGTTTTGGTGTCGTGAGTTCGCACTGGACTTTCCGAATTCTTCCATTGCCTGGCCACGCGGAGCCAACCAAAGTGGGCTCACATTTTAATATATTATTTTTTTGGCAAGGCCTACTACTTCTGGTTGAAGGAATGCAATTGATAATAGTGCAACCGATGAGAAACTAGAGAACAGTGAAATATCCACTTGTCTCATTTATTTCTTTACTTTTCTTATTTGGCCAAGCTAAATTTAGACGCGAAACAGGCCCACTGCTTTCGGTTAAAGGGCTGAAAGCAAGAGAATTGGGAATACAGTAAAAAATTGGCAACTAGAGAGCACCAAGTTTTTATACTTATTCTAAGCGATTGTACCGAAGTGGCTGTGCCAACTTTATGCACGTGAAAAACTTTGTAAACGATCCCATAGGTAATTTCCTGATTTGACTTGACACAGTTAGCTCGGACACGAACCATCATTGGCGCGAAGTATTTTAATGCATAATTAGCAAATCTATTGTATTTAATAGCATATAAATTAGTCGGGTCTTCTTTATTAGATACTTCTTTTTTTTCCGTCATCCGCGAGGTGATTATATAGTCGCTCGGTCGGTAAGGTAGATCTCTTTGCACGGCCTTAACGATATCTACTTATATCCGTCAAAGTGCGCAGCCAGAGGTAATAAATGAAATCGGCATTTTCTTAAGATCCTTCTATCGTTACTACCAACGTGCTTCATTCGCTTGGCAGCAGAGCACTTCTAGGCGCACGGATTCCGTGCGAGGAAGTCGAGCTCCTTCGGATAACCTTGCTGGAATGTCTCGTGCCGGTTCGCACGGCCAGGTAGTCAGGGCTGGATCGACGGCGGCGGCGGCAGCGGCAGCCAACAGCACTGTGCCGGTCCCTACAAATTCTCCTCGCTCGAGACTGACTACACTTATTATTATATGCGATTCGTGATTTCGTGAAAGGTCCGTTCAGAAGAGGAATAAAGGAGCAGGATGGGTTATCGTTTTTTTCTTTCTTTTTTTCTAGCGCCAGATGCAAGAGTAATATAAAACAGTCGCCGGAATGCCTTTGGTTCTTATCAACGATGCTGAGAGAATTGGTCCATTTGACTTTATCAACGTAATTGACGGTGCACTTGTATTCTCTTGTTTTTTTTTTTCACAAATTATCGAATGCGTTCTCGCTGGTTATTTAGAGTGAATTGACTTTTCGGATCTGTCATGGGTCAGCGTTGCGAATATTATTGGATGTCCAGAGCGTATAGGGAATTTTCGTGACTGTCGGGTTGGCTACGTGGTGGGGAGGCTGCTGCGTTAATCTCTATTCCCGGTACGTAGTGCTCTAGCTGCGCGGTCCAGCACTGTTACTTCCACTAGACTCTTGGCTTTCGGTATCTAGATGTGGGATGCACCGAGAGTAGTCAGAAGACGACGGTCCAGAGGTTGGATGCTGGTGGGGTGAGCCGAGGTGCGGTTATTCGGAGAGTCGTGGGGGAGGGGCGGGGAGGGGAGAGGAGGGAGAGGTAGGTATCGAGAGAGAAAGAGACAGGTGTGAGAAAGATGGAAAAGGAATTTACGATATTTTCCTCTATTAAATTTTAAATGCCGGGCATTGTTGCGTTATGGTGTCATTTAAATTATTAGGAGTGACGTAAGAGAAAGGCCAAACGATATCTTATAGAGCTGAGAGATGGCATTGACAAATTTTTTTGAGAAACTACTTTTCTTTTTTCGTATAAATTATTGTGGTGCGATCAGCTGTTTTTTTTTTTTTTTTCCTTTAATTTCGTTCTTCGACAATTTAGTTTCAGATTTCCTCGTATATTCGTTGCTTGTTCGCGGTGCACTTTTATCTTTTTCTTTCGTTTCTCGTATCAGCGAGCGACTCGCTTCGCTAGACATTTAGAAGTGCGATTTTTTTTAACGAGTATTTCCGCTTTCGTCTCAAGAATCCACGACTTACGGGAATACCTGAGAGTGCATACACGTAGAGACAGGTGCTCGTCGCGTTATTTTTCAATTTTGTCAGTTGTATTAAAAAAAGGAAGAAAAAAAAAATTTGAAAATAGTTTCCCAAGTTTATCGAGCAACTTTGGCATATATCTGACTTCGTACAGAATCAATATGAAATTCACGAGTACTCGTAGGAGTCCGTAAACGTACCTTAAATCATCGATCGTCGATGACTAATCGTATGTCAGTCCGAGCGTAACGTTCAGGAATGAAATAAAAAAGAAAAAAGAAAACTATGACTTGTACCATTCACTAATTTCACCCGGAATACATAATTACGTAGTCATAACAATCACATCCCTCCAAGTAGCAAAAAACCACCAGCACGTGCGCGTCCGTCCACTCTATGCGTTACCATGACAACAAGTTTCCAAGACAATTCGAACTTGTTCCCGCTAACTCCCAAGGTGCAACGACACCCCCATCCACTCGTCATTAATTTCGAGATCTCGTCTCCACGTGACGTTCCGATCCCCAAATAGTCCAAAAATTCATGCACACAGCATGTGCACAAGCAGTAACGAGCGAAACCGTCCGCTAGTCGCAAGAGCATAACCAAGACTTTTGCTCCTGTGTAGTCAAGAGGCTATAGCCGCACAGTCAGTCACTCAGGCGAGGCAGATAGTCAGACACAGTGAAGCACAGGGCTGCCAAGAGGAAGGAGAAAGGTGCTGTTGGTCGAGGGAGCTGTAACATGGGAATGGTTGCCGGCCACGTGGACAAAGTGAGGTAGGGGGAGGGGAGGGGATGATTGCCGGCGGGGGGGC